TCTAATATATTACTTTTAATTATTATTATAATTCTAAATATTATTAATTATTTATATAAAATAAATTAAAAATTTATTTAAAATACAAATTTTTTTATTAAATTATTTATTTTATATAAAAATTATATAATTAAATAATTAATTTCAATAAATTCAAAATCTTGATAGAATAATTTTTATAATTATTAAATTAAAAGATTAATTTTATTAAGAAATAATTTTTATTTTTATATTAAAATAAATTTAATAAGTTTTAGTTTAATATAAAATAATTATTCTAGTTAAAAAATTATTATAAAAATTTTTTAAATTAAATTTTATATTTAATTCGAAAAATTTTGTAATAACTTTATAATTAAAATAATTCTTTCAGAAAAAAATTTAAAAATTTTGAAAATATATCTTTTATTATAACTTATAAACTATATTTTAATATTTAATAAAAATTATTTTTTAATAAAATTATAAAGTTAATATAAAAAGAAAATTTTAATTTTTATTAATAAAATTAATTTACTAATTTTTTATAATTATAAAAGATATTATATATAATATTTTAATATTTAATAATTTATTTTAATAAAAATAGTATTTTTGATTTATTTAAATTAGATAATTATTTTATTTAAATTATATATTTAAATATCTAAATATTTTTAGCTCATAAAATTCAAAAATATTATATTTTTTAATTATATTTATATAATAATTTAAATATTTTTATTTACAGAATTATTATATAAATATATAGTAATGATCAAAAATAATATATCAGAAGCTAAATTTATTAATAAAATATAATAAAAATTGAAATTTTCTCTTCATATTAAAATTTATAAATTTATTAAATAATTTTTATTTTATATCAAAATAAAGTTTATTAGTTATAGTTTAATATATATTTTTTTCAGATTTTTTCTAAAAGAGTTATTCTAATTGTAAAGTTAATACAAAAATTTTTACTAATTAAAAATGAAATTTAATTAATAAAATTTTTGCACTAACTTTAAATTAGAACAGCTCTTTCAGAAAAATCTAAAAAATCTGAAAAAAATATATATTAAACTATAACCGATAAACTTTATTTTGATATAAAAATAAAAATTATTTCTTAATAAATTTATAAATTTTAATATAGAGAGAAAATTTCAATATTCACTATGTTTTATTAATAAATTTAGTCCCTGATACATTATTTTGGCCACCACTTTATATTATAATAAACAGAATACTTTAGTTTAAATATAAAAATTAAAGAAATAACAAAATATTTAAGATTAAAAATTAAAAAATCTTTTATTATTATCATAAGAATATATTCAAATATATATTAATATAAAGTAATAAGATATAAGATATTAATTTATTTATAATATTAACTAAATTTATAAAATAATTATTAATTTTTCATTTAATAATATAATTTATTTATAAAATTTATACGGAAAGTTATAATAAAAATACCACAATACTTTTAAGAGATTGATGAATTATAATTATTTTAAAATAATTATAAAATTTCTTACTATCTAGACACTTGGAATAGTGTGATAGAATAGATGAAATAATATAGAAAAAGAACAACTAAATGCAAGAAAGCATTAGATAATTTAATTTCTTCTAAATGTGATTACAGTTTGGTTGTTACTAACGATAGCTTAGTATTTGTGTCCGATATGATATTGGATATATAACAAAATTTAACAAACTTAATTATGTGATTCATTTTCAGGATATTACAAAATTAAAATTGGTTTTATTTGAAATTAGCCTCAAAATTCTCGAAAGTCTTAATTAAGAAGACGTTAAGCATTAGTTCATTTGTTGGAAATTACAATGATTGTTACCTTTGCATAATAAACTAATCGACCATCAAGAACTTATAACCTTTTTCAGCATCACAAGATTTAAAGCTTTCAAGGAATAAATAATGTATTCATTTTATTTTAAAATAACTTTCGCAGAGCAATTGCAAATTAACAGATTTTGAACTTCAAAAATCTTTAATACGAATACATTTTCTTCAGTTAGTTATTAGGTGATAAACTAACACGCCTAAATAATCTTAGGGCATTAACGATCATAATACGAGAGATCCTCAAATACATATACATATATTAGACAAAAAATTTGAATCGGCATCTAAAATGATTGGTTAACAAAGATTTTATTGTTGTCCGAATATGGTGAAAAAAATTGAACCCATATTTTTTTGTTTTTGGACATAACAAGAAATAAGTTAGTATTTAGCCTTGAATACCTGTTCGACCAGAATTAGGACTACTTTACCATATTGCAAGATGTTTTCAAGCATCAAATTTTATGTATTAGTTTCGATGATGAATGAATATAACTGAACTAAAAAAATTAATTATAGTTCTGAAAAATGAGCAAAATACAACAGAGTATTTTTTGGATAAGCGAAATACTTAGCATATTTGGGATATCTGTGTTATCTGATACAATTACTATTTTACTTTATAATTTATGGTTTAAAATATATGAAATATTTATACTTTAGATTATGTTTTGGACGATATGGATATCTATGAAATACCCAATTTCACAAATTATAAAGCTTGAAAGAAAAATCAATATGGTAATATGAAACTAATATTAGATCGATCGTTAGTGATGTAAACTTTAGAAATAGAATGCAACAATTTCAGCAGTCAAAGATTTTGAAATTCAATATTTCTATTTCAAATTTTTTTACATCTTTCAAACTATGGAAATGCAATTTTCCGGAACCACATGATTGGCAAAAAATGAATATGCATTAGAAAGGGATAGAGTGATTGTATTTATAAATATATAATAATTAGTCATGAGAACAAACAGAGCGCGCGTTTAAAAAGGGTTTACATAGTGCATACATTTATGGGGTTGCATTTAGGGAGAATTGGCTATATTTCATTAAACTTACATTAATAGTAATTTCTTCCATTATATTTATCTACCGTATTCTTCCGGAAATAAACACCGTTTTTTGGACTCGAAATAGGATTTCTAGAATATATACCGGGATTCATCCGAGAATAAGCATTACTCAACACAGCAAATGAAGATGGTGATTATTCCTGAGCAGACTTCATACATGAGATGCGTGGCTCTTATTTATTCATTATTCTAGAGTGGTGCTTATTTCGGGAGAATACGGGTATTTCATTTAATACAGATGCGTATCAAGTAAGATTATGCTTTCTTGTTTCAGATTATGGCGCATATCTATTTATCATCTATTTACATGCATCAATATTAACAAGTAAATTTTTACGCGTGAAAAACATGCATGGATCAAAGACATTGGTTTACAAATATATGAGGAGAATCCCATATCTCATTAATATTACACCACATGTTTTTGGAAATGAATCCTAATATCTATATTGGTCTATTAACTCACAGGAAATACATATAACAGGTCCCAACCAAATAACGTTTGGTGTAAATAACATTTTCGTTTAATTCTAAATTAAGAGTACAAGATCTAGTCCTAGTATAGAAGTTGACTATAAGAAATTATTTTTATTATTAAAGAAGGTTTGTGAATATATAAAAAAAAGATTGTGTGACACAACATTTCATAGACAATTGTTACTTTGCTTAGTTTGCGAATTTCTATTGTATGCACAATACGCCGCCGTAACATGAATTTTATTTTCCATTAGGTTTAGTATTAAGGTTTTCGAAAACAAAACTGAGAAGGCTTTCTTAACATATGGCAAATAATCCGAAAAAATGGGGATAGATTATTATTGTACAAAAGTTGATTACATGTATTTGTTACAAATCATTAAGTTATTTTAAAAAATCTCCACATCAAACAAATTTTGGAATACAACAACCAAATTCTATTCAACCTCATTATAATTAAATAATAAAAGAAAAAATAAATTCCATTAAAGTTATACGTGTAATTACAACGCGTGCACGCCACACTAAATCTAGAGAAGGCCGCTATTATGCATGTATTTGTAGTGTGACACTAAATAACAAACACCGCCGTAGCGATAAGATTAAAGTTATGTAATTCTCTTCTATTTATGGCAAACAGGCGAACTTTGTCTTATTTGTGTTTTTAAGCTAGCAGAAAAAATCATTCCCAGATTATAACCAGTCAGTCATCTAGATTCAAATGCTCTTAATCAAACTTTATCAATTTCCATACCGATATACGGTATTTCCTCCTATTTACGCGCTTTTGCAAGTCAAAAAACTGCAGGATCTCTAATCTAAGCAATCATGCATCAATTTATTGTGCATATATGTATGTTATACTTTTTCGAATTTTGAAAAACCTCTTTTGTTTTGAAAATTTATTATACTTTTTTCCCCTATTTCCCTAAAAATGCCGTATCGGTAAATTCAAAAACATTTGTAAATGAAATAATGTGTTTGTTTAGGATATAGATCTAGCATCTTTTATATTAGAACACGATACGAAGATGCCTGTTACCAGATTCATGAATGTAGGTCATCGTTAAAGTGTTTTCCGCCATTGTTAATTTAAGTTTTTATTGTTAAACAAATAAATAAAATTGAGTTTATAAAAAGTTTTTTTATGCACAACAAATTTTTTACCATTACTTATTTAAATTTTTTGAGTAACATTTAATTGAAATTTTACAAAAAAAGAAATAGATTTTTAAGTATATGTGGAATAATAATATTTAAAGTTTGCATTTAAAATTGATAAAATTCTTGGCAAGTTACTACTAATCACGTGATCAGTCAAATAGTCAAATATAACACTTACATTGTAATCAAAATCATTTTCCACCCCCCCACCCTATCCAAACTTCAACAATCCGACGTCTTCCTTATCTCTTGTAACTTATATTTTTCATTCCTTTATTTTGTAGGTTTATATATTTGAATAATTATATAAATAATACATTAAAAGAGCAAATTTCTTTTTATCGTTAGTTTATTACAAAAATATAAATTTCTTTACTAATTTAATCCTTATTCTTAAAGTCACTATAACATAAAAACTCATGGGAAACTGCATTTTTAAACAGAATGTAAAAGCTGTTGTGATCTCAAATGCTGACGATTCATCATCCACTACCAATTTTTTGAATCAATTTTCATCGAAAAACAACTGTAATATTTCTCATGAGATAAACATGCTGACTAATCATCACTATGTTTTAAAAGAAACATGGGATAAGTAAGGAGGTTAATTTAAAGTGTAACCTAGCATTAGATTCATTTATTTTATTTCATTTAATTCATTCATTTCATTTTAGTACAAATTATTCAGCGCCAGTAACTGAAATTTTGAGAAATAATGCTTTGGTTTTGGATATTGGGTAAATATTAAAATTTTCTAAGTCCATAATTTAGCGTTCATCGCATTGATCAGTCTATTCGTGTACATATTTTTAAAGATGCGGATCTGGCACCTGGGTTCTTGACATGGCTACTGAATATAGCACATCTACCTTTATCGGAATTGATAGTACATCATTTTTCCCAAAACAAATAAGACCAGTAAACACCAATTTTCACCAATTGAATGTGTTAGACGGTCTACCTTGGAACAAGAATCATTTTGATTTTGTTTATCAGAGAATGATGTTAACTTCGCTTACGGAAGAAGACTATCAAAATCAAATTCGTGAAATTGTCCGAATAACAAAACCTGGTGGATGGATCGAGGTAATAAGAGGTTTTCATTTTTTCGATCTTTTGTTTAATCACAAAATTAATGAGTTGCTGTCGATATTATGATCAGATCATGGAAAAGAATGTCGAATTGAATAATTCGGGGCCAACAACAACAATGATACTGAAAGGTGGTAGGTCAACATTTTTTTTGAGAAAATATATACAAATGTTGCTGAAAATTGAATGCTCATAATAATTTTCAATGTAAAATTTATTTTTTAGCATGTAAAGTTCTAGAGTCGGCATCATTCAACACAAAAATTGGCGCGCAAATTAAAAGATGGCTTCAAGAATGTGGACTAGTCAATTTGAGATTCCAAGAAAAAACAACTCCATTGGGAGCATGGGGAAATCATATTGGTGTGGCTGCGTTTGATGATATGTTGATATCCTTGAAAAAATTACAAAACTGCTTGTTACAAAATTTGAAAATTACCGAGAAAGAATTTGACGGGATAGTCGACACTATAAAATCTGAGGTAGAAGAAAATCGAACTTCAATTACTACATTTAGATGCTTTGCACAAAAACCAATACAATAAGCAGCAATAATAGCTATTATTTGTTATATGTGTTCGAAGATATATAACGATAACCACCTAGAAAGAATTAATATGCATCTAAGTTAAGTTAATTAAGTCAAAAAAAATGTATATGTACTTTCATATGTCATAGTTTATTTAATTTGTATAATAACAAGAAATAGCGAAAAATCTATTGCTATAAATTTTAAAATTTAATTGTCTTGATCTTCTTGTGTCTTATATTCCATAGCATACAAATCCTATAAAAACTAATTTAAAAAATTGAAATAATATTTTTATAATTATTCAGATCAAATTGAATGGAAATATATTAATATTTTTCTATTTAAATAATAATATTTTTATTTAATTTGAATAAAATATTCAAAGTTTTATTTAATTTATTTAAATTAATATCAAATTTAATTCAGAAATTTTATTATAATTCTGATATTTTCTGAAACTTAAAAATCAAGATCTGATAAAAATTAGATTTTTTATAAATTATTAAATTAAAATATAATAAAAAATAAGTATTGCTTTTAAAAAATATTTATTTTTAAATATAATTAAATTTTTTTAATTATTATACTTGAAAAATAAATTAAATAATTATAAAAAGATATTATTATAAAGAAATAAATAGTAACTTTTATAATTATGAAATTAAAGATCAATTTTATTAATAAAAAATAATAAAAATTGAAATTTTCACTCTATATAATTTTATTAAGAAATAATTTTTATTTGAAAAAGTTATTCTATTTTCAAAGTTATTACAAAATTTTTTTCTAATTAAAAATAAAATTTAATTAGAAAAAAATTTTGCAATAACTTACAATTAGAATAATTTTTTAGAAAAATCTAAAAAATTTGAAAAACTATAACTTATAATCTTATTTTTATATGAAAAATAATTATAAAAAGATATAATTATAAAAAAAATCTAATTATATATAGTGACTATCAAAAGTAATACAATACTTAAATTTTTTACTAATTATAATTAGTAAAAAATTTAAGTATTATATTACTTTTGATGATTACTATAAATTATTAATATATATTAAAAAAAATATTTATTATTTTATAATCTTTTAAATTTTAATATTTCTTTTAATTTTTTATTTTATATATTATAATAATTATAAATAATGCAATACTTTTATTTTTTACTAAAAAATTATATTAATTATAATTATATTATATAATAAGAATTAAAAATAAAGTATTAAAAATCAAATTTATTAATAAATATAATAAATTTTCAAATTTTTTTTATATTAAATTTATAATTTTATTAATAAATAATTTTTATTTTTATAATAAAATAAATTTATAATTTATAAATAATACAAAGATAATCCTATTATAATAAATCTCATTTAACCAAAGTACTAATTATAACTAAAGATAGCTCTAGGATTAATTATAATAAATCTATCTTATTAAACTGAATTTACTAATAAAATCTCAGATAAACTGAATATTTAAAATTTTTTACTAATAATACTGATCATTTTGATATAATAAAGTTATCTTTATATATATTTTTAAATTTTTTCTAAAAGAATTATTTTAATTTATTATTGAAATAATTAAGTTTTATTAAATTTAATTTTTTTAAGCTTAATTAATTAGTAAAAATCTAATTTATTTTTTTAACTAATATCTTTTTAAACTAATTATTAAATAGTTATAAAATTTTTTCTGATTAAATTTTATTTTTAATTAAAAAATAATTTAATAATTAAAATAATTCTTTTAGAAATTTTAAAAAAATAATATTAAATTATAAATTATTTAATATAAAAATAAAAATATAGTTAAATATTATAAAATAAAATTTTTAGACTAAAAAATTTATTTTATAAAGAAATTATATTATAATAATAAATTATATTATAATTCTTAAAATAAAAAATTAACTTATTTTAGATTAATTTTATTTTATAATAATAAATATTAATAATTATATTTTATTATTATGATATTATAAATTCAAATTTATAAATTTATAACTAATTATAATTTAATAGTACTTATTTATTATAATAATTAAAAAGTTTATTTTTAATAATAACTTTATTTTATAAAGAGAAATTATATATTAATAAAATTATAAATTTTAATATAAAGAAAAAATTTAATTTTTATTATATTTTATTAATAAATTTAATTTTTAATATATAACTTTTAATTATTATTATAATAATTTTGATTGAATTATCTCTTTTAAATCTTTTTAGTTTAGATCTTTATTTTGTATTATTTATATAACAGATTAGCTTTGTATTATATTTTAAGAAGAATAATTTTACTCTGAATATATAGATGATTATTATGTATTTAATACATTTAGATTTAGCATATTATTACTCAGATAATCACTATGTGTATTATAATTATTAATTTAGATTATTAATATTTTAATTAATATTTTTTTATATTATTATTTATCATATTATTAATTATTAGATTATGATTAGTTGTCTCCTAAAGATACAAATTAAGTTAATTAATTCTATTTAATTCATATATATTTTATTTATAGATTATTATTAATTTATTTATATCTTGTATTTATTTTTTTATTATAAATATGATCTGTCTGTTCTGTAAAATAACTTCAGATCTGAATATTTTTAAATAATAAAAATAATTATAAGTTATAAAATTAAAACTGTTCATATCATATTTTATTTTGTTTACAACTATTAATAAAATAATCTTATAATTATTATATATTTTAAAATAATATTAATTATTTATAATTTATTTAATATATTTAATAATTAAATTATTTTATATAAAATATATAAATTATATTAAATATATTTTTATTTTTAATATAATATTTAAATTATTTTATTTTGATAATAATAAAAATAAAATTTAATATTTCTTGATTTTTTAATTTTTATTTATTATATTTTTAATATTCTATTTTTTATAAATTTTTTATTATTATTAATAAATAAATAATTTTATATATTAAATAATATTAATAATATAATTCAGTTTAATATTTTACTTTAAATAAATTTTTTTTATTATAATTATTATAAATAAATTCAGAAAATTTTTCTAGAATAATATTACTAAATATAATCAAATTTTTTTATAATTATTATACTTGAAAAAGAAAATTAAATAATTAAAGAAAAATATAATTATAAAAAAACTTTTTTAATTAGTAATTAAGAAATTTAAAAAAAATAATTATAAAAAAAGATAATATAATTATAAAAGATTTGACTATATATTATTAAAAATTCAAAAATAATAAAAATAAAAAAAATTAATTAGCTAAAAATTATTTTATAATTTAAAAATATTTATTGATATTTCAAAAATATTTATTTTAAAAATTAATATTAAAAAATTATTAAATAATAATGTTACCATAGTAGCATAAAAATCCCTAATTCCTTAATCTTTTCGTGGTTATGCAAAATCACATTTTCTTATAACTT